CTTATATTCGGGTCAATACTTTTTCCCAGTTTTTTTTGGTCAAATTAGGTACCTCGGCTTATATTCGGGACGGCTTATACTCGAGTATATACGGTATATAGACAAATTAGGGGCAGACTTTGGTCATGATGGGACGCAAAGTGTATGTATGGGTAAAACCTTTTTAAAGTTAGAACCCCTATCAAGTTGTTCTTACAGTTTGTGTCCCCACTATGTGGATTCCCCTCTCTATTTCTCATTGTGACCATTGTCAGAAAGCTTGGAGTTTAAGTGATGAGATGCAAACATTCAGGCATGTATAATGCCTTTCATCAGGCATTTTACATTTCTCCTGAGCATTGTTAGAAAGGGTTTAGCTGCTGGTTAAAATAACAGTTGCTGTAGTTTCTAAACACAATGCTGGTTGTTCTTGTGGTTAGGACTATTACTAATAATACACAGCTAATGGAGATAATGTATTCTCCAACTTCTGGTTATTTCCTGGGGGAGGGGAGTTCAGGTTCTATTGTGTGAAAAGAGTTTATACATATGTGCATGGATATTGCAAACAGACCTTGCAAGACGAAAATCTCTAAGACTCTTTAAATCGCCTGTATTTGATCCAATATGCTACCTACCGAGCTGTACGAGCAGGTAAGAACTAATACAACCTTTACATTTCAACCTAAATCACATTAAAAAATGAAGGAAGTAATCAGATCACCTATAAATATTTGAGATTCGTAAGTTTGTGCAAATTTTAAATCTTAACAATCTGTATTGTTAAATATGCCTAAAGTAAATTGTTGGTTTCCCTATGAAAATAAAACAAGAGGACAAGTATAGTACTTAAGGTGAGTGGCCAACTCAAAATCTCCGGGTTCTAGTCTGGCTTGTTACACTCCGGCGAAGTCAGTAAAGAAAATGGATCACTGCACTGCATCGACTTTCTTATCAAAGAAACATTAAAAGGCACTTTTCTGCTGCTATTAAATAAGCAAGAAAAGTTGCTGCAGCATAGAGTATGGTGAGTCATTTTCTAAAAATACTAGTTGACTGGTTTTAAGTCTCACCCACCAACGTTATTGCTTTCATTATTGAACTGAAGCAAGTATTCAGATTAGGAAAAATTAAGAAAAGTGAGAAAAATGTGAGATGACTGATTCAAAGTTGTACTGAATCAAGAGTGTCAGCATGATAGTCAGGCAACCACCGTGTTCAGGAAATCTCAGCAATGGAAGTCTCTGTGTTTCCCTTATGACAGCTTTCTTTTAAATGTGTTTTCCACTTTAAAGTGGATTAATATTGGATCCAGACCTAATAAACACCACTGGTATGTAACATACTACTACTTCTTTCAGTTATCTTCTAAAGAGCCCCACAGGTCACTTTTTAACCTATGCATCACTGTTGGTCAGTAAATGTGATAAGCAACCTTACTGGACAATAGTGAGGCCAGGTAGGCAGCCAAAGGTGGCCAAAGCACGTACTTCCTAGTTAAAATTCCATTTATTAGGTTGTAGACTTTGGCTGGGCAAAGTACACCCAAAAATAACTTGATAAAAGTACACAGGGAATATGCAGCACTCCCTCTCCCTCTGCCACTGCCCCTGCCGTCGCTCCAGCAGTTTTCTGCTGGCAGAATGACAGCCGAGACTTTACATGTATTGCAGCAGTACCTACAACTGCTGCTATAATGGAACTTCCTGTTGATTTTTTTGCATTTTTATTTTCTTATATAATGTTTAAACATTTGTTTAGTTTTTATCAGTTTTGTTCGCTTATTTTACAAGATGAAAATGCATGAAACTTTTAAAAAAACAGTCTTGGTCTTTTACTGCCAAAAATGCCAGCAGGTTTTCTGCAAAAAAAAAGCCCCCTTCTGCCTGCCAGTTCCTCTTTTAAATGTAGAATGAGCCACATATATGCAGCTCGCTGCATATTTTCAGCATGCCAAAATAAGAAAAATAATAATTTGTATTTCATTTGTAAATAACTTTGCAATGCTTTGTACCAGCATGTTCATTTTGGTTACTAACAGTAGCACTAACTTTATTAAAACTAACACTAATCAAAGTTAAAAAAAAGTGCATTATACATTTTTTACCAACAGGGTTGCATAGAAAATACAATCATTTTGCAAGATAGTATTAATGAAAGAAAGCGCTGTTTGTCCCAAGAAAATCAATATAATGCATTACTTTGTTATCATAAGTAATGACAAAGTTATCACCAAATAAACAGGTTCATAGCAGAAATGTAATAAGCCTGGTCCATAGGGGGTATACTGGTGCGAGAGCTGAACTGGTTAACCTGATTGACAGGAACACAAAAGGACGAAGTGGCAGGTCAGATAGAGCAGGAAACCACATTGGGATAGGTACTGTTGGAGCCAATTGTATAATAAATGGGAAGATGTGGCCGGACAGTAGAGCCAAATGGACAGATGGGCTTGGAGGTACAATATATATTGCAGGCACCCAATGGTATCTTGGCAGAGACAGACTGAAGAATTTATGGCAAGTAGCAGGCACATGTGAATAATAATGAGATTCATTGGGTGACCCATTTTTCTCTTTGTCAAAACAAACTTTTTATCTTGTTAAAGAACTGAACTCTGGAAGCTGTGCCTAAAAACATCAAGGAGAGGGCAAAGTACTAGTCACCAGTATTGCCTGTGATCTCCCAAGCAGCTGCTATTTTCCCCATTACTGAGTTTCCATGACTTGATCTGCATTGTGTATCTCTGATATTCAAAAAGCATCATAAAGCACTAATCAACAGAATGAATGAAGCAGAAGCAGGGAGATGCATACAGTGCATATTTCCCTCAAGCAAGGAGAACAGTAGTGACATCACCAAATCTCACTCCAAATGTCAGCAATCTCTCTCCAAATCTGCACAGGTCTCAGAATTCAGATATACAGTACAGCTCTGAGGCTGGAGACACAGGAGTGCCTAGGCACACTCACACATCAGAAGTCCATTGCTATTTTTCAGGAGGAATACAAGACAAAAAGCAGATTTTTCAGGGTGATGCTTAGGTGGAATTAACATTTCTAGATGTTCCCTATAACATAGAAAATCCTTCTTTTTTTTTTTGTTTAGGTCCACTTTAAAGTGAACTTGTTGCTGGCAGTGTTAATTTTGACAGCAAATTTAGTTTTAGTCATAGTCTTTTGACTAAAATGCCATTGAGGGGGCTATTCATTAAGCTGCCGAAGGCTGCCAAGTGAATAACCGAGCCGAAGTGAAGGGAGCCGAACCCCGTTCAGCTATTCACTTTAGCCAAGCACGGCTATTTTCAGTTCAGCCGAACATGCTCAGGTATTATTTATCTTAAAATTAGATTAAACCAAGTCTTATAAAGAAAGAATAATATTGAGTATTTTCAACAAAGGACCAGTGATTAGATATGCATTGATTATAACAACTTGCATATAACGTTCTTCATTCTTTCAAGCCGAAGTGCAACTCTAAAATATTAAAATGAAAAACTATATTAGCTGTAATGACATTGCGCATATTATCAATTAGCCGTCCATTCAGGATGGAACCAGAATTGGAAGTCCAAAGAGATTAGTTCTGATTGGATCTCTTCCCAAATCTTCTCCCCCTAACATTTTAGTCTAGTTTTAGTTAGTTGACTAAAATGTCAATATATTTTCATTATAGTTTCAGTCATCATAACTTAGTTTTTATTTAGTTTTAGTCTAGTTTTGGTCACTGAAAAAGTGTTGTTGATGAAAACTATGACGAAAATTATTAGTCGATGAAGCACTGGTTGCTGGCTTCCTAATGAAAATGCTAGTTGACTGATTTAAAGTGGAGCTATAGTCTTACTGCCAAAATGCTAGCAGGCAGGAGTTTACTGCAGAAGAAACTCTGTATATATGAAAAAAGTCCTCTTCTGTCTGCCACCTCTTCTTCTTCTAAATATACAATGAGCCACATATGTGCTTAGGTCAGTGCGCAATCCCAGCATGCCTTGGTGCCGGCATAATTTAACTTCCATGCATATGTGCTGGAGTTCCATCATCCCAGAGCAACCAATAAAGATAGCTGGAGACAATGATCCGGAAAGTAGATAACGCAAAGGGGCAGCGACAGGTGGACTGACAAAGATGCCAGTTGCAGGGGTAGGATTGCTGGAGTGGAGGTAAGTACAGCCGACTTTAGTTGTACTTTAGGTATTTTTGAGTCACAGGTCAAAAAAAGTTTTCATTGAGTGTTATTAAAGTGTCAAGTAGGTTCTCTCAGCAGCTCCACTGACCCTGCTTCTCCCTCCCATCAGTGACTCAATGACTCAATGGCCTTCCAGCATTCTAATACCTAATGTAAACACAAAACAGGAGCTCTGGGAGGGTATGTAAATACTTGAATGCCCGTAAGTTGGCCACACAATGACCTTTAGGTCTGAAGAAATAAGCGGTGCAGGGAAATTTGCTGATGACATTAACCTCCTTGGCGGTCTGATAATGCAGTATTTTTGCATGCCAAAGCGGTACATTGTTTTAAAAAAATAATATAATAATTTTAAAAAACGGTCTAGTAAATGGGAATTCTGGGGGCGCTGCCTGATCCGTACCACAGTCAATAGAGCACCAAGTTCGCACATCACTGAGCTTGGTCGCATAATTGTCGCTGTCGTCCCTTTCAGTGTGTGATGATGAATTTCCCCATGAATCGCTATCGCTCAATTCTGCAAGTGATTCTAAATCACTATCGCTCTTATCTACCTGGTCTAAAACCGCTTTTGACCTAATGGGACGCTTTTTGGATGCCATGGACGTTCACAAGTTTCCAGGCAGAAAGAACAGTGAAAGAACAGTAAAAGTGCAGGCAGGGAACTGGACAAAGCTCTAGGGACAAAACTGAAGTGAAATGATTTGATACAGTAATGTAAATCATAGCAGATTACATTGTATTGTGTGTATTCTGTGTATATTGCATGTTTTCACTTTTGAATTGCCTGCCGGCTCTGCCCCTGCTGTGACGCCAAAAAGTAAACTGAAAGTCGGATGCCGGCATCGGCCAGGCGCTTACAGCAAAGGACACCGCGGGACAAGGTAAGTGGCACTTTTGTGCAATCCCGAGTGTGGCTCGGGGTTACCGCTATTGGTACTGAAAATTAACCCCGAGCCACACTCGGGAATACCGCCAGGAAGGTTAACAGGGTTATTCACAAAAGGGTGAATAGCTTGGAGAAGGCAGGAGAAGTGAACAATCTAGACCAACATATCAGAACTGGATAGTGAGCTGAATTGGAGAATTTTTCCAAATCGGCTACAGTATATTGGCCTAGATTGATCACTTCTCCTGCCTTCTCCAAACTCTTCGCCCTTTTGTGAATAACCCTGTAAGTTTAATGGCTTTGCAATATGGGGCTACTTAGTCTACAATGACTAGTACTGTCTACTAGGCTCTCAGAAACCATTTGCCACAGGAAGGCTTTTTGGGGGTTTTGTAGGCTTAAAGTTCATGTGAAACATAATTTCTGTCAGTCAGCCTGTGGAAACATAGATAATCAGCTAATTTTGTATATAATTCATTACTAGATAGGGGCTTTTGTCTGTTCTCTCTCATTTAAATTTTAAATGATCCTTGTTTCCTCAAGCATTTTCATGCTTACAAAGTTACTTTACCAGACCTCGCATAGTTTGTGGCATCATTATTTCACACGTACCTCCTTTTCTGAATAGCTCTTTCTGTACCCTATACAGTATATCATATACTTTACATATGTAGCATGGAAGTAACAATAAAGGGGTGAAACCAACTAATTTTCATTAATGAATTTAGTATGCATTAGAATTGGCTGCACGTCGTAAAGAGACTTGCAAGGCTCATGCAGACATACAGCTTAAAGTGACACTAAACTCAGGGGTTACATCTTAAAAATGTATTCAAGTACCTTAACTATTAACAAAAATGTATCTTACTGTATCTTACTGAAGAGTTTGGAGAAGTCAGGAGAAATGAACAATCTAGGACCACAAAGCTGAACTGGAAAGTGAGCTGAATTGAAGAATCTTTCCAAATCAGCTATTTTTCTAGATTGTTCACTTCTCCTGACTTCTCCAAAATCTTCACCCTTTTGTGAATAATCCTCCCAGTTTTCATCACAGAAAACATGATTTGAAGGTGTTGACTTGGCCTCCAAATTCTCCAAATCTCAATCCAATCTAGCGTCTAAGGGATGTGGTGGAAAAACAAGGAGGCCCCACCTTACAACTTACAAGACTTAAAGTAGAACGCCAGGAAAACCTTTTCTTATCCCTTGCAGTGGGGCTAGCCCTGCAGTGGAAGTGTTAAGTGCTCATTTTTGTCCAGGTTAAAAAATAACAATGATAAACAATGATATACTCAAATCTCCGAGCTGGCCAGCCGTCACGGTGCTCCCTCCAACTTGTCTCCTCCGCTGCGGTTTTGGAATCTTCCTAGGTGTGCTCACATCTATAAACAGTATATCGACTGAAAGGGTTAATTTTGTTTCTCCCCCAGAGTTCTCCTTAGATAAAAAGCTATATTGCCATGTACCTTATTTGGCACAAAGATGAAGATATTTTTCGCACATGACAAGGTAGTTTTGAAATGTGTTTTTGCCTATCAAAGACATATGAAACAAGATGTGAAAACATCTTCTCACTCACAGCGACAAGTTTCAAAAGAAAACAGATTACCGCTGGTAAACACTGGCAAGATATGAGTCAAGTAAGTCCTAGCACAATGGGTGGCTTTCTAACTGGCACGGCTGTGAGCTGCTACAAAGAAGTGCATTTCGTCTCTACAATTACCTTACTGTCATTTTTTTTTAACAAGGCAGTGCAAAAAACTGTTACCAGTGGTGAACACGTTTAATATTTTTTTTTCTCACCTCATTGCAGTTGATTAATCATACCTCCCAACTTTGTGAGATGAGTCTGAGTTAATAAAGAGGGGCACATTCCAGCACTCTGTATTTAGACAATGGACAAACTCCGGCTGCACCCCAATTATGCGGGCCATTTCTAATGTATATGCCAAAACCTATTGATTAAACCCAGAATTGTTTTTTCACCATTATTTTTCCTTTTATATTGGCTTTTGAAAATAGCAAAAAAAAAACTAAGAGATAAGATAGGAAGATTGGTTGTTAAATAGAACATTTTCATAGATATCTATACATCAGATCAAAAAGAGGGACAACTGAGAAGGAAAGAGGACAGAGGGATTTGGTTCCAAAAGATGGACAGTCCCTCCAAATGAGAGACAGTTGGGAGGTAGAGGTTAATATCTGATTACTATGGGCACTTTGCTATATTACACATTACTATACTGTATGCACTTTGTGCATTCATTACAATTGTGCAGCTATGTTCAATCTGCAAGTGACACCCATGTGAAAGATTTTCTTTAACCACTTGAAGACCAGATGTTTACACCCCTTTCCTGTCCAGGACATTTTTCCTTTTTTTGGGACAGATAGAGCTTTCTTTTGGTGGTATTTAATCACCACTGGCGGTTTTATTTTTTATTATATCAAGGAAAAATTACTGAAATTTTTGAAACAAATACGTTTTTTTTTACATTATGTTAGGAAACAATTATTTTTACCCAATTATTATTACCCAATATTTTGGTAAAATATAAAAAACAGGGTCACATCAGGTAAATAGACACCAAACATATCAAGCATTGAAATTGCGCACACCCGCGAAATCGCAAAAAAACTACTATACCCAAAATTGGACATAGCCTTTAAAAGCTTTTACCGCTCATCAGTTTAGTGTTATCAGTGTTTGATGTCCCTAGAATTGTTGCTCTCAATGTGACGTTCGCTGCGATATGCAATATGTGCGGCCTAATCATAATTTTCACACGTATGCGCACTTGACGCATGTTTGCACACATGTATGTATGGGTGGGGACTTTAAAAAATGTTTGTGTTTTTTTTTATTCTTTTTCATGTGTGACTTTCTTTTTTTTTTGCAACGTAAATTTGTTTTTTCAGTTAACGTTACTGTTATCACATAGGGGGCTAAGACACCCCCCTATGTGATAGCAAAAGATGTGACAGGTCCATTTTATGGAGACATCAGAAGTCTCCAAAGAAGCTTATGAAGCAGAGATCCAGCAAGCTCCAGGCCGGCTGGCTTTCTACAACAGCCGGCTGGCTGGGAGGCGGTTAAAGAGGTCCTGAACTGTGTAATCTATACTCCAAAACGACAAGCAGAGGGCAAATGACTAGTCACTAGTATTGTCTCTGATCTCCCTACAGATAATAATTTCCCCATTGCTGACTTGACTTACCATACATACCTTGTTCTGCTCTTTGTAGAGGTGGCCATCTTGGTAGAAGCATGGCTTTGCTTCTCATGTCAGAGTTTCCCCCCTAATGACTTGTGATCTGATGACTGGTGGGGTAATATCCAAAAAGCAGCAGAAGAGGTTCAGAAAGTACAGATCTACAGAATGGATGAAGCAGATACAGGGAGATGCAAGCTGTTCATACACCTAACCAGCAAGGAGAGCAGTGAGCAGCAGAGTAGACCAGACACCATCAGATCTCATGAGACTAGCAGACTGAGGCAGCTATATAGCTACAAAACTGTACCCACAGGAGTGCATACACACACTCGCATACCAGAAGATGCATTGCTATTCTTTAGAAGTACTGTAAGTCAAGGTACATTTTTCAGGATCTGGCTTAGGCACAATTAACATTTTTAGATAAGATATCCAATCTTAATGTTTTGAGTTCAGATCATTGTGAAAGTGCTGGAAAAGTATGCAAGTATAAAAGAACATCAAGCTATGCATTGTGTAATAAGTTCTGTGGTGGATAAGTTCTGTGGTGGATCTGGACAATTAGTGTATCTATGTCAGACCTGAAAAACTTTTAAGGCAAGATAAAAGAATGTTAGTTTTCTTGAGATATGGAAGAATTGCTAAACCAGTACCGATGCTCATAGATAGTAGAATTTTGGGAGTTCAGGGGTACAGCCTCACCAGGACCTGAGGGACCTAAACAGCATCCAGGCTATGACAGAACCCACAGAAATGGGTGACCTAAGCATGCTATTCCTGTGTGTGGGGAGATCTCCTATCATGTTCAGTTAATTCAAGGTCACAGTAAAAAAATGCCTTGTGACTTCATCACTTGGCACTCAATTATATCATTAAAGATGACCTTAAGGTAGATGTAAAAACAATTTATTGCAGCTTTGTATCCCTTTAAAAAAAATAATTGTTTTTCCACATGTATATCCACTCCACCAAACTGAGAGCTTTTTTAGTTAGTTGCAATACAAAGCACCTTGGATTTTAGAACTCCAAGGTTACTATACAGGAGATCCGAGACAGCATGCATGAAACTGGGAACTGCTAACTGATTCAAGGACCTTGAAACCAAACGAGTTGGTACAGGTGTTTGGTTGTTAATATTGTTAATATGGTTATTTATAATGTGTTTTATAAGTGTTTTAATAAAAGGCTGCTGTGGCCATTTAAATTCCCATTGTTGTGTGGTGTAGTTATTGGGAAGTGGGTAATGTGGACCTCTGAGCTACCTGAGTCAAGACCCTGCAAGGACAGAAGAAAATCTGTTGAACTGCCAGAAATGAACTTAGCTCCTGAGTCCTGGTGTGGGCTGGCACGCGGTAACCGCTCCAGGTGTCACCCAGACTCGGGACGTCCCTGCGGTCCACTGCAATCTTAAAAAAATGTGTGGGTCTATTTTTTAATACATTTCCTGTGGGGATATCCTGATATTTCTTTATAATTATGAAGAATTGTAACTCAATCCATGATTATTCAGCAATGGAGAATGGCAACCAGCAATAGAGGACTACAGATCCCATCAATCCATGATTATACAGCAATGGACTGGAGAATGGCAACCGGCCTTAGGGGACTACAAATCTCAGCAATCCATGATTATTCAACAAAGGAGAATGGCAACAAGCAATCGTGGATTTCAGAGATTTGTAGTCCTTTATAGCTAGTTGCCATTCTCTATTGCTGTATAATCATTGGTTATACCGCAGTGGAGAATGGCAACTAGCTATAGAGGACTACAAATCTCAGC